TGCGACTATTGCGGCCAGGCTTTCCCAAGTCTGCACGACCTGAAGACGCACGAGGGCAAAGCACATAAGAAGGTGCGAGAGAAGCTTGAGGGTGTACAGGTTGCTGAACATGGTTATAACGGTCTTCCTCAGTGCAGGCATTGTGGGGACAAGTTCTCCAAATGGAACAGCTTGACACGCCACATTTCCAGGCATGGCTGTCCAGCTCTTGAGAGAGGTGCCCCCAATGAGTTCGCTTCGACACAGGCTGGCGAGGTGATGCCGCACATTCGTAGGCCAGAGGTTCGCGACGCAATCTTTGAGCATGGCTGGGAAACATTGCTTAAAGATGCTGCTCTGTGTGCTGAACTCAAGCAGCGCTGCGGCCTGTGCTATCAGTGGGTCTGCGGTGTCAGGGGTATCCGTAAACACATCCGGGACAAGCATGGAGATGAATTTACTCCACATGAGAAGGCCATTGCTACACAAACTGCCCACTGGAAGCCTTATATCACGTCGCCCTGTCAAATTTGCGCTGCTGTCGTGACCGACTGCCGACAACATGCAGGCAACTGTGTAGCACTCATGCAGCTGTTGCTCATGTCATGTTTGCTCGTTGGCCACTGTTCTGCGAAAGCACCTTCAGGATCCGCTGAAGCAGGAAGCAGAACTCTGGGGGTCATTGCTGCCGTCCCTCCCGGAGGGGGTGGCTGCACTGCAGGAGGCGGCAAAGGTTCTGGCAGACAGCAGCCAAAAGGACGGCAAAAGACGCCGAACGCAGGACGAAAGCTCAGCTTTGACGTCCCAGTCGGGGCAGGGCAGAGGCAAGGGCAAAGGCAAAGGCAAGGGCAAAGCGAAGAAGGAGGCGGCCAAGATGAATTTGGACGAGGCGGTTCAACTCATGGCGGCGGTGACTCTTCAGCTTGTAGACCAGAGCAGCCGGATCCAGCTAGACACGAGCTTTCTCCTCACAATCAAGAACGAGGGCGGCCCGGAAAACCTCCTTCCTGTGATGCACAAGGTCTGGGCACAGTGGAAGAAGATCCAGGCCGAGGAGCCCGAGAAGCTCGAGCGGCCGCTTCGCTGCAGCATGCTGATTGCGCTCCTCATGGAAATGAAGGCCAGGGCAGAGAAGCTACTACAGGATGCGGCGCAGCAGGAAAGGCTCAAGGGCTTGGAGTGGATCGACTCGTCAGGACGATGGGTTTACAAGAAGTGGAACCCGGCCCAGGAGGCGCTGTACACGGATGCAGG